ATGTATAATTTTAATTTATACTACAGTTTTTTAATTCAAATAATTAATTATTTCAATATTAAAAGCCGACCATATTCGATCGAATTTTAAGTTCAAATTTTTATTTATAATCTAAATAAGAATTTTATTTAAAAATCGCTTGACAGATAATACATGGAATTATTCAATTAATTTTCATATTGATGTATTTTTCATATTTAATTAATTATGTATATTTATGGCTAACAAATTGTATTTTTATAGTTTATACTACAGGAACAGCATAAATAACTAAATAACTAATAACTAAAAATAATACAATGAAAAAAACCAATTTTTATAGCAAGCAATATAGATTGCTGATTACTAACTAGTAAAAATATGGATTCAACTTAGTTTTCCCCAAAGTTTTCTAAATAGTCATTTCAATTATTTGTGCAAATATTTTTCTCAGTTATTAATGTTACCTCAAGCCTTTAATTGATTTGAATTATGTCAGCCAATTAGATGGTACTTGCTAATAAGACCAGGCCAAGGTCTCCCAAAAACAAACACGCCCGCATGCTATAGCCTGCGGCTTGCATAAATATTGTTAATAATAATAAAGCATAAAAAAATAAACAATATTTATGCAGACTGTGGAGCGCAAATTATTTACACACAACCCAAACACTCACAGCATAGAAATAACAGCGTCGCAGGTTCTTTTACTGCTGGCACAGATTATTATAATAAAACAAATAAATACACAAAGGACGGGCACTTGGCTCTGGGGCCACTGTACAACGGGGCGTATGTGTATTTGTATTTATGGCAAAAAGTTGTGAGGGGCACAAAATATACGCACAAGGCGAAAACAAGCAAAAATTTTTGCAAGTTTTGCTCTAAAATGGCAGCAAAGCTTTTTGCATGTAAGTCGTGTACGTGCCGGCAGTGTGTATAAGTGTGTGTGTGTGCGAGTGTGTGAGCGTGTGTGTGTGCCTATTTGACTGTTAGTTCCATTGTGGCGCATAGCTCCATGCCACTAATAATGTTTATGTAAGAACTCTTTAGAGTACGCGCTCTCACAATAATTTCATTGTTCGCATTCTATTTGCTTGGCTGTTGCCGGTTTGCTTTATTTTTTTTTTCTTCCTTTTTTTGCCCTTACTTTTTCAATGATAATTAAGTGTGTATTACAATTCACCTACGTATGTGATCCACCTTGCGGGTGGTAAAGGGCTAGAAAAAAAAACCCTGCAGAGAAAACTACGAGCTGGCGCTTGTGCTTTTGTTGGTTTTTGTCGATTTTTTACCTGGCCGAATGCTAAAATGAAAAGGTCAGGCATATAACACTGGCGTAGAGGTGGGTAGCGTGAAGCTTGCGTTACTTCAGAAATTTTCCAGAATAAATACTCATCCATAGTTCCTCTTCCTCTTCAAATTCCAATTCCATTGAATCAAATTTATAGATCAACTTTATAGAAACAACTGTCTTGTCGATAAGCCTGAAGAAATGAGCTACAATTTATATCTAAAGAGCAATTTCCATTGCATTCAAACAGGCGCAAGGTCTCGTTGCGACGCGTGTTGTAAAACGCGTTGTAAAACGTGTTATAAAACGTGCGTGTCAAGGCGCAACTATAATTTAATTGCTACTATAATACTTAAGTTAAATGCTTTTACATGCGTAGTTACATGGCACATGGCAAATAAAATAAAATGTAGCTGTTCGAAGACAACCACAAAATGTGACTCGAAATAGCTTTAAAGTTGCGCCCCATAATGAGCATAAAAATATAATGGCCATGCACACATATATATAAACATAATATGCATTTACAATGTAAGCAAAACTACCCGGCTGTAACTCGATGGGTAAACTCCTGAAAATTGTTTACCAAAGCGTCGCGCAGATGATGTCATCAGCCATGCTGATATGGGGGTGTTTGCCAAATTATGCATCCTGCTGTACGAGCAGAGTATCCCCATCCATACCCCACGCTGAATCAATAACAATAAACAGAGAAGAGCTCTGAAACTCCGAGATGAGAGTCAGACGTCGCCCTTGCCATTTGCCAGACGACCCGCCAAAGTGGCGCCAATATTTTTAGCCGGTTTTTTTATCTTTTCTTTTTTGTTTTTTTCTTCCGGTTTTTCGTAGGGGTTGAAGCCAACGTGTGTTGTTGTCACGTTTGACTGGCTTTCCCAAGATAGTTTTCCCAGCTGACTCAACTTTTCTTATCAAACTTGGCAGAGATTTTCGCAAATTTTAAGCGTATACAATTATTTTAATTATTTATGAGTTACCATTTTTATTTGTATTTCATTAATTAGAAGATTTTCCTCAGGCTGTAAGAGTTAATTGGATTTTGAGATCGAAAAAAAGTCAGAATGAAAGCAAAAGTTAAGGCACTCTTTACGCTCTTAATTGGAAAATGATAAAAACGCCGTTTTTAATCGGGCTTAAGCACTTGAGCAGCTGCCTGCCGGCCAATAATTCAATTTGGGCTTTGATCTTTGAATAAAGTGAGTGTTAATTAGATAATTTTTATGTAATTAGCAGCTGACAGTTGCAGCTAAAACAGAAGTTCGAACAGCCTCAAAGCTACAAGTTTGAGTTTAAATAAAATTGTTGCAGGTTTATCGAAAATTCAAATAGCCGGAAGGCAGGCAAGTTGAAGCTACTTTTGCTGTTAATTAGTACACTAGCTAACCAGATTGTATTTATTGCTTTCATAACTTCCATTGAGTACAATTTTAAAACTTTAGTTAAACCAAAAAAGGATGCTCATGGAAGAGTGGAAAAGGAGTCCCCTTGTAGATTGCCAAGGCATTCTCTTAAAAGATAGGAAAGTTATTCTCCGCATGGTAAAAGTTTCACATGGCAAAAATTAATGTATTTCAGATGTTAGATTGAAATATGCTCTTTGGGTTGATTTTGCGCTGTTTTTTAAATTTAAAATATTAAATTTGAAACTATTTTTGCCATTGGGTATTGGGTAATCAAAAGTGCTCTAGTTGAGTATGCCCGAATAGGAGATACACTGAACAGCGTAAGCTACGTATAAAATGAAAGATGCTTGATATATTATAGTATTCTAGAGGCTGCATGTCTAATTTGGTGACTCTAGCTCTTAAATCCAAAGAGATTTGCTTACAAATAATTATTTCGAAATTAATTGATTACAAACATGGCAAGTTATCGTTTATTGAAAACAAACTCGTGCGGCGCGGGCACGAAGAGGACCTTCGTTCCGCTTTAAGTCTCTAGATTATGGCTTCTGAAATCGACGAACATAGCTATATCGACTCGGCTAGTGATGGCAATCATGAGTGAATATACTCTTACACACATTTGCACAAACACAATGTGTCCTTTCGAACAATTTTCTATGATTTCAGTGTATTAAAGTCTATAGTAATCAACAAGCTAATATTAATTGGGGAATTAAAGCATTTTATTTTTGAGTGTTGTAAGCACAACTTAAAATAAACTTCAATTTACAGGAAACAAATATGTTTATTCAAAAATAATGCCAATGCTATATTAAGCTCGTGCTATTTCGAAAAATACCTGAAATTAATCAGACATCAGTTCGTAATACCGTCCTGACACATTGCATAGCCAAAATGCGCACCAATTAAATAATAAATTAAAGAACTTACGCGAATCAACTTGCTGTTGCTTTTCCTGTAGTTGCAATTGTTATTTGTTTGTTTGGGCCAACATGCATATGCTTTATGGCGCGGTCGTCATCAGAGCCATCGTCATTTCATAGAAAGCTTTGCACACACTTGCACACAAATGCAGACAAGGACGAAAAGGACAACAAGGAGCGCTGCTTGCATTGCGCTGGATTGCATTGCGTTGCGTGGCGGGTTCCGGTGCTGCTAATTACTCAAGCAGACGGGCACGATGAGCATTCAAGGACCTTGTCGGCGGCAGCACACACACACACACACACACACACACACATAAACACACATAAGCACACGGCCACACATAATGAACATATGCGACATAGTGGCATAAAAAGGTTTTTGCCACTTCACAAGTTATATACACAGCTTTGGTGGTGGGTCAAAGGGCGCGGGGGCAGAGCGCGGGACGCAAAGCGCAGGGGCGAGGCCGCCGTATAATGCGAACCATAATTTTAATTAGTGGCATATGAAAAGCCAGAAGAGAGATAGAGCAACACAGAGGGAAAAATGCGCTTGCAACAAAAAATTATTATGTTATTACGGCTTTTGAGCACAAGCCGCTTATGCGTGGGCGGCTCCAGCGGGCCATAGGGGCGTGGCTTAGGCTTAGAAACGGCACGAGTTATGTGTGTGTGTCTTTTACGTAAAACTAGTTGGCAAAGCAAGCAGATTGCAGGGAGAATATTTGGGTCAGATAGGTTTTGGTATGTTAACACATAATAAAACTTGAAAGAAAGAAAATGGTATAGCAGATTATGCTAGAAAAGTGCAAAGAATTTGTCGATAAGCCAAAAATAAGAAATAAAGTGTGCATTATAGAAATGGGGAAATAAATGTATTTTCTAAGTTTTCAGAAATTCTTACCTTTTCTGACTTTAAACAATGCGAGGCCATAAAAGCCTACAAGCTGTCTTTAGAGACTTACGTCTATTCTAAAAAATTTCAAATAAACACATGTCCATACACAAGTAAATTTGGAACCTTATTCATTGAAACTGAGCGATGCCTGGTAATGGTTAGATTAGCTAGCTTTTCATTTTCTTTTACATTCACTTGCTTTTAATAGCTTCTAGAGTAAAGTTGTCTTCTAAAAGTCAACCCAAGCATACACAATTTAATTAACTAACTATTTTTTTGGAATGAGCGTCGCCTTGCACTTTACATATATTTTCTTTAACAAAGGATATAAAATAGTTGAAAGATACAAAAACGCAACTTACTAGAGCGTGCTTTACAGAAGCATTTAAAAATTTCTAGCATACCTTGCTTTTTTAATCAAAACATTTTAATAAAGGAACACAAAATAATTCTCATAAATGCTGAAATACGTAAGCTCCCTAGCAGTTGCTGTCAAAAGGGTCCGCTTCAATGTTTAATATCGCTCAAGTTAGCCCAGTATCATAAAATTTTTGGTTTCTAAAAGCACAGAACGAAATTCGTGATTTTCAAAAACCAATTTAAAAAAACAAAACGAAACACTCATGTCCAGTTTAGATGATTTCTTTGCGAAAAAGGACCGAAAAAAGTCCGCAACAAAAACAAATCTCTTGGCCGCCGACGAGCTCTATCGCACACTGGAAGAGACCACCAAAGCGCCACAGGAGGTGGACAGCAATGAGAAGCTGCAGCTGGATGTGGCAAACAGTCAACATTCGCCACTCGAGTTCGGCATTCGCTTCTCCGATGAGACCATCGACGAGGAGGACGAATGGTGCGATTTTACCGAGGAGCACGATCAGCCATTTCCAAATTTAAAACGCAACTCAAAACTGGTCCTAAGCTCAAACGCCGTGGTTGCCAGCAGCGAGGAGGTAAAGCTGGCAGCCGAACACGGTCAATATCAGGACACTGGCGGCGATGGGCTCGGCGTAGGTCAGGCTATCGATGAAATGGGCAAGCCCGCTTGTCCCTGGTTAAAACTGGAGCCCACAGAGCTGACCAGCTTCAGCCCCAAGGCCGTGGAGACCGTGGAGCGCAAATCGCAGCCAACGATTAAATCACAGCCGAACATTGCGCCCAAAAAACAAGTCTATGTGCCGCCAGCTCTGCGCCAAAGCCAAAGCGAGTTCAGTGTACGTCCACGTAAACAGGCGCCACCAGTGCCAGTGAAGCTGGCCAAGGGCCAGGCACCAGATCTAAATAATGTCGATTTCTTTCCATCACTCTGTAAATCACGCATCTCGAAGCGTGCCAAGTAGTTTTCGTATTTCATTATCCGTTCTTCTAGTTAACACTTTTTAAATTTGCAACGATTAAAGCTTGAGTCCCGATAAAAAAGTACACAACAGCGCTCTTTATCTCTCTCCCTCAGTCTAAATCTGTCTCGCTTACTTCAGCTCTGCACAGCCTCGACCGTACTCCCCGACGTGTCATTAGCCAAATATTTACAATCAAATCGCTTTAGCGCTAAATACACCCCGCGGACTGTTTTACGTAACACGCGCAAATGTTGGTAACAAAATATTTTGGCATTTATCATGTCGTTATATTATATTTTAAGCACGCATATGACTATGAATAAATAACGTGTATTATACAGCTGAGCTTAAGGCATGTAAATGACTCTACTAACTTAAGAAGCAATGAATGTTGCAGACAACAGTCCCTAGACTGGGAAATAGTCTGTTTTTAGCACTAAGCCGTAATAAATCAGAGCCTTATTAAATGAAGTAGATAAGAAAATCAATCAAATCATTCAAGGCTAAGGAACTTGACAAAATATACACACGATCACACCACAATTAGAGTTCAAGCTGTGGGAGATTATCAAAAGCTTCTGGCATTAATTAATATGATGCCAGCATCTGATTGATTCCAGGCGCGATGCCATTTAAATTGCTACCCAACTGATTATATCCCATAATATAAATATTTAATCATTTGCTTCGATCAGTAAAACAAATATAAATATTGTTAATGTTTATATTAATTTATGTTTAGAATTATAAAGTTGAATTTTAAAACCAGTATTTTTAAAATATATCTTGCTTATAAATTTATTAAAAATTTAATACGAAATTAAAATGCATCAAATAGAAATTTTTTGTTAAATTTGTACATGCATTGCTGTACTATTATTTTGGCCGCAACTGTATATATAAATGACAATCCTGAGAAGCCACAATAGCCGATTAAATTTAACCACGACCGTCTGTCTATCCGCTTTATCAAATTACTTATACATATGATATATATGCAGATTCTGAAAATTTGTGGCACATCTTTGAATGCCATTTTAAAGTAGAAAGAATCGAAGGCATTGTGCAATCCTATTAAGACTTCAAACCAAAGCAGAGTCAGATATATTCTACTTAAATGTTCAAAAATATTTTATTCAATGAAAGCAAAAGGAACCGTTTCGATCACACCTACTTTAATGGAACATAATACTCAGTTCAGCAATAAAATCATTAAGAATCACAGTCGATTTATTGTTTGAGACAACACAAGTTTCGGTCTATTACTTATATATAGCTTAGGAATCGGCAACCAAATCACAGAAGCCTCTTCCTTTTAATAAAATCTATTACGTCTTTAGCCGATAACCAGTCTTTTGATATGTTTGCTGAAACCTACTATCCTTCTAAGCAGGCTAACAGTGTCCACCAAAGGGTCCGTAGCATGAACAACAGCCGTATGGTCCAATTGGACCGCAGCAGTGGTTTATCGCCCGAAACCACTGTCCATTGTAGGGTCCGCAAAAGCCACAGGGCCCCAGTCCACCTGTTGGTCCACAACAGGTGCCAGGCATTGAACGCAAGCAAGGATTACACATTTTTTTTGTTTTGCTCTTTAAAGGGGGAATTTATAAACATTTTAACTATTTTATAGGATTTTTCCTTAAGAATACTCACTTTAGCCTGATTACGGAAGTAGGTTGTCAGAAAATTACTTTTCGGTTACTTCCAAAAGATGTTTGTTGTACGAGAGCCCAGACGAGTATGAGAATAAAAACTAGGCAACGGGCTGAAACGGACTTTTCAAATTGGGACATGCAAGCCAAAGCCTACTGGGCGCGTTTTTCGAAATATTTAGTTGTTCTGTTCATGCCTTTATTTAAATTTGTCCCTTAGCTAACCCTAAATAACTTTTAGTAAACAAAACAGTTGATTTTAGGGCTTGGCTGAATACTGGCAAAAGACAGAAGGAGAAACTTGTGATGTTAGTTTCAAAAGAAAATCGAATTTTTATTTATAAAAATCCAAAAAGAAGGATTTTTGTAAAAAATTTTCAAGTTATGTTTTTCATATAGAACTTCTTCCAAGTGTAAGACAATGCCAAAAGTCTTATTTCTATTTCTAAATTATAGAACCAAAGCTGATATTTATTCAAATATCCATTCAAAATGTTGCCTGTTGCTTATCAGCAGAGCTGCTAAGAATTGATAGATGTTATGCAGATTACATCTGTGTATTGCATTAGGTTTTGCTTAAAACCGATATAAAATGTTTCGGAAATTTCGTTTACATAACTAGTAGAAACTCTGTTGCTTAGCCATTAAATCGGTAAGCTGGAAGGTCTGAATATAACCTTCAGCCCAGCTACTTCTGAATGCCACTCAAATGCGGCCCAGCCGAATCCCTGCTCTGCTCTTACAGGTCCCCAGGCTAACCATTAGCATTTGTGCTCTGTAAGACTTTTGTTAAATCAGCGCCAACAGAACTAAAAAATAAATCTGTGTAGTCATGTGCCTGGTTGGTAGCCAAAGCAGGGAGTATCAAATAGAAATACACTTCACTGCACTTGTGAAATATTTCCAGTGTCGCTCGCCGTTCTCCCCTCAAGGCTGTTCGTGCTGTACAGAATGGAGCCATAACTCAGAGCTGAGCGGAGCAACAAGTGTAGCCACTAGCCCCACTTTTAGTTTCTCTCTTTTTGATTGTTTTAGCTGTTGCGTAAAGGCACAAAAAACACAAGAGCCCGAACCACTTTGCTTGACTGTGCATTTCATAAGAGAGAAATATGCTACTGTTCCTTTAGTCGGGTCTTTTTGGTTTTTCCCCAGCTGCCGACAAGCACACACCCGCTCCCAACAGGACTTGCGTTGTTTACTTCAAACCGGATTCACAGTCAAAGCGAAGTAAACTCATTTGACAAGTTTTGTCACGTGCGTCACATGTTGGAATGCGCCCAGCTCCGAGCTTCCCAGCAGCAGTCGCTCCCTTGGTCCTGCTGCCTGCTGCCTGCTCCCTAGCTGCCGGGTTCTTTGGCTTGGCTTCTGCACATTTTAAGCAATTTTCCACACAGCAGTTGTCGTCATTGTTTCACAAAATTATTCTACTAGTTGTTGTTGTTGTTGACCTGGTTTTTCTGCTTACACAGCGCACAACATTGTTGTTCTTGTTGTTGTCCTGTTGTCGCCTAGAATCTGAAAGTGTTGTTCCTGTTGCTTTCGTTGTTTGCTTAAATGTGTTTGTGATTATTTAGTTATGGCATCTAATTGAGTTTTGTTTTGTTGTTGTTTGTTTAGCTGCTGTGTGTACAAACCCTTGTGCGCCCCGGCTAATTGAGTTGATTACCTCAACATTTTGTCACTTGGCCGTCAGCTTTGAAGGCTTGCAGTCGCCCAAAAAGGAATCAAGTTTAAAGATTGGACAGGCACAATTGAACAATTAAAAGTAATTGCAGTTCGAACAGCTTCTTCTTTTACTTTGACATCTTGAAGGTTCTTTTAACCGGAACTTAGACATCGTCTTGCTATAGCTTTGCGTATTCAAAATATTTGTAAGCATTTTCTATTGATTGAGATTGATGACACTTACATATGGATTAAATTTCTTCTACGTCACAGTTCCTTCCCGTGCTGTTACAAACGTTTGCTCAACTTCCTTATACCCTTTGCTATTGCCCATTTTACAAGGGGTATGCGAAAAAAGAAAAGACAGACATAATCCTGTTTGCGCTTACTCACAGCAGCACTCAAACAAGTACAATACACAACATGCACGCACAATACAAACCACACACACACACACATATATACATACTCCTTGAATCATTCACAATAGACGATTGGCAATAGACAAACTCCATTTGAGCGTATAATTGCATGCAACGGCGCTTTATAAGTCAGCATCCGCTCAGCTTCATGACGTCTTCACAGCGCCATACACTCTGGGGTTTTGTGCTTTTGATTGCTCAATTGCTGATGGACTCACTGACAGATTGACTGACTGATTGACTGACTGACTGCTAGACTGAGTGGCTGAGTGACTCGCTGACTAACTGACTTGTTGTGCATTTCAATAAAACATTCGCTGCAAAACTACAATGGGCATAAGTTATGCTCTCATGGCGGTGGCATTGATCGACTTCAACGGATTTCAACACAAAATTCAACCAGTTTAGAGGGATAGAAGAATGCTAGAGAGAGAAAGAGAATGTGTTCTTGACTCGCACTAGTTCGCGCAGTATGATGATGCATGCATCCAATTGACGGATTGATGCCATTTGCCGGAACGCATACAGTCGTCAGCCTGACATGCAGAGGCTTATTTGAATCTTTAAATCGCACATTCTTGAAAACAAAAGCATTACGAAAATCTAATATTTATTAATATAAGCACACAGTTATTGTAATTTTGAAATAACTAGATGCTCGGTAACCGAGTGAAGTTTTAATTACATTTTCAACTTTTGCCCAACATTTCGTTTTCCTTCTCGAAACAGTAAATTATTTTTAAGCATCAAACACTTGAAAATCTGCTGTGCAGATTATATATTTTTTGATAGTTTTTCTGGCGCTGCTTCGCGCATAAATCAAAATGAAAATAACAACAGCTCAAAAGTCCAGCGATAGGACTTCCGCTGCACGGATGCCGTTTTGAATGGGGACATTGAACTTCCTCAATTTCGAGCAGCTTGAGGCTATGCGCAATATAACAACACCAGTAGCAAAAGCAACTGCAAACACGTAACATTAAACAAGAACAGTCACAACATATTCAGCTCCAGATTTTTAAAGTTCTTTAACTTGGGAGCGCCCGCAACAAAGAAAACGAAATATGAAACCAGCACGCGATGTAAAATAAAGTAAGCTAAATAAAACAGGCAACCCTCAAGTCCAGATCTGCTGCAATTCTTGAAAGCATTTAATATAGAGAAATTCAAAACTATAGAAAAAACTAAAAGTAATGGAAATATTTGTACGGCACTCAGTTGTATTTGAAATTAAAAATTCTCTTTTACAATTTGACTTTTTTGTTATTGTGCCATATCAAAAGCCACATTCCATTGGGTCAACGGTTTTCAATTGAGGCTTCAAGACTTGCATTTTCTCATTCATATTGCAATCAATTAATTAAATTGATTTTTGCGTTTGCTACATTTTCAATTATACAAAAAGGTATTCAAATTGAGGGCAACAGCAACAACAACAACACAAATCAATCAAAAATTCCTACTATTTGCATTTAGAATTTGTGAGTTACACTTCGCTGCGGGTATTTAAATATATACCATTAAATATGTAACGCATTCTTTGGAATTTCGGGAACCGAGCAGAAAGAATAAGCTGAAATGATGGCCCGTCTCTTGAATGTGAGCTGAATGCTACAGAGAGCTATAATATAAAGTTTTTCTCATCTTTCCTTCAGTATATGTTGACCAGCAAGAGTGCGAATAAAAAATAAGTATACGTACCCTGCACATATTTTTTATTACGTTGTAAGTAATTTTATAATAAATAAACACAAGAGTATTTTTATTATCAAATTATAGTTTAGAAAACATTCAATGAGAAACTCATATAGATGGGCGTATCGGCCAAGGAAAAAGTGGAATAGAGTATTACATTATCAGCAAATCGAAAGATGTACTATTCTATCATGTTTTCGCAAGCAAATTGAATTGCAAGTGTTGAACAAAATGGTTCAGATCGTTTTAACTTATTGGCCTAAGGGCTTTAAAATTTTGAAATTTGCTATAATACGTCGAGCTAATTAATTTAAATACATGCGGCAAATTAGAAGCATATAACGAGGAACAGCTGTTCCAGCTGTTCAAAAACATAAATCTAGAAAGCAATTTGTCTGTAAAGTGTCATAAAATGCATGCAGGCCAGAAAGTTGCCAAGAGCTTTACGCCAGCCAAAAAGGAGTACAAGTAAAAGTTTATAATTAAAACTTTACGCACGTTTTGTCTAAGTAAATACGCAGGCGGACACACACACACACACACTGACAGCTTGCCAGCTATTTGGCTTTGGCCTTTACGTATGCGTGATGCGAGCCAAAATTTTGTGTTGCATACTTAAGTGGGCGAGCACTTGGCTCAGGGCTGCATTCGGAATGCCGGACGGCTGCTCAAAGCGAGCATATGACCCCAAAAGGCTACGCTAGTCGCGAATTCTGACTAAATTGTACAAATAAATAACACAAAATACATATATCAACAAAAACTGCAGAGCGTATGTGACACATATGTGTTGCACATATGTGTGACCAAGTTTTTTAAACAAAACAAAAGGCTGATCTATATTCTTTTCAGTTTAAGGAATACATTATACAGTGAAATTATATTAGCTCAAAACTATTTTCGTTTAAGTCAAGAAGGTTAATTTACATTAATTTAATTTACATTCATTTACATTTTTGAAGAACAGTTCCAGAAAAATGTGCGCCATAATAAACAAAATTTTAATAATTAACAATGAATTATTATCTTAGTTATAATTATTGTTGTTCCTTATAATTTTTTGATCAAACACAACTTTTTTAGTTTGTTGACTATTATGTATGAATAATGTAATGTAATTTATTAACCTTGAGCCACAGAATTTAATATTAGTACCTGGTAAACATATGTTCAATTTGAAAAGTCCTCAAAAAATATATATTTCATTGAATTTCGAAAAACAAATAAATAATAATAATAATAATAATGATAATAATAATAATACTAATAGTAATAATAATAATAATAATAATATTAATAATAATAATAAAAATAATAATA